GGTGTACGTGGCTGGCGCCTTAGCTGGTTGAGCTATAGGCACCGAGCCTATAGTGTGGAATCTTGCGTAGGTGCTGTGGGTGTTTCTCCTCCAATTTTGAAACAGTTCCTACAATTTAAAAGCAAATTGCAGCATAGTACTAATCCTTTTAAACAAGGATACATTTTTACAGTATTAAATACTCCAGCTCTCTGTCCTGGTTTCACCTTGAGTACTTAACAGGTGAGTCTTTAAGGGCAAATACCACACTACACTTGACTATGCTACCAAAACAAAATGAAAACACAGAACCTATTTACTCATCTAATAAGGTTTTTGTGACAATCAATGGACGTGTAATAAAGACACTGGCATGTCTTGAAACTAAAAAGTGATTTGTTCACATCAGGGTCTAAGGACCAAAGATCTCAGGGCTTTAAAGAATGCTTCAAAAAACAACTATGCAAGTTCCTCTTCCCAACTCAACATAGACAATAGCAGCAGACATGGATATTAATTTTATCTGAGATGTAGGGATTTACTTGAATCAAAGAAAATAAAGGGAGGAAGGTATGAATCAATCAGTTTGAAAAAATGAAAATAAAGCTCAGTTTTCTCCCCAATATGAAGATATGATGAAATGCCAACAAAGTCTACAAAGAATAATTTCTGTAATTTGCAAATTGTGAAATTAGCTTGAAAGACGAAGCAGATAAGGATATCAAGGAACTATTTCTTTTTTCCAAAAAAAACATTCATGGTAGAGCCGATATGGCAGGATGTTATTCCTTATTAAATCCACACAGTGGGTCCTTAGGTCCTTGAAAATAAACTTTATTTTCAAACATACTTAGGCATAGGTGCCAGGCGTCTCTGTTATCTGAAATATTCTTATCATTAAAAAAAGAAGGCATGATGAATTATTTACTTTTTCAAGAGCTATGCTTTGGTCTGAATATTTCTGAAATAAGAGCTCAGTTTAAAAAATCTTTCTAAAAGATCTACAGAAGACATTCCTTATTCACAAAGATATGTTCTAAGCCCCCCCCAGTGCATGTCTAAAACCATGAATAATACAGAATCCTCCCATACATACATACCTATGATAAAGTTTAATCTATAAATTAGGTACAGTAAGAGATTAATAACACTAATAGAACAATTGTAACAATACCTTGTAATAAAAGTTATGTGAATTTTGTCTCTTAAAATATTGTACTTAACCTAGTTTTTGGACCTATAGGTATGAAACTGGATAAGGGGGGACTACTGTATTTTAAAATAGGTATTTTAGTAACAAAATTGAAAAAGCATCTAAAATAAGGGAACATACATGCTTTATATGAAATACCCACATGATGGAAAAATACATTGTTTTAATTAGGTCTCAACTGATGGAATTGTGCGGAAATGGTAGAATATACTGGCAGTGATTAAGCTGTGGAAAATTTACTTTAAAAAATTTTGTATACTACTGTTTCCCTAAAGATAATCTTTTTGAAATTAAATAGTTTTATAGGTTGTTGTTATTGTCTGTAACATTAAGTTCACAATATCTACTAACAAAAGTTTATATAGAAATGTTATTACTAAACTGTACAAATCCTGTTTTTAAAAGAGAACTATTACATTTAAGAGTAAGTGTAATCACAGGCACAACCTACTACTGAATGATGGTACCTAGTTTCAGTTGTACATTTGTATGACACACATTCATATACGTTTGTGTATATATAATTACAAAGAATATGGGCAAAGTTGAATAAGCATCATTTAAAAATAAACTTTATTTTCAAACATACATAAAAAGTAGAGAGAATAGTGAAAAAACTCTTACCTATTTAATCCCCCCTTCAAGTTTTACAAAGATGGGCAAAGTTGAATAAGCATCATTTAAAAATAAACTTTATTTTCAAATATACATAAAAAGTAGAGAATAGTGAAATAACTCCCACCTATTTAATCTCCCCTTCAAGTTTTGTGTAAAGAAAATCCTGGCTCAGCGCCTGTGGCTCAAGTGGCTAAGGTGCCAGCCACATACACCTAAGGTGGCGGGTTCGAATCCAGCCGGGGCCTGCCAAACAACAATGATGGCTGCAACCAGAAAAATAGCCAGGCATTGTGACAGGCGCCTGTGGTCCCAGCTACTTGGGAGGCGGAGGCAGAAGATTCGCTTGAGCCCAGGAGTTGGAGGTTGCTGTGAGCTGTAATGCCACGGCACTCTACCCAGGGGGACAGCTTGAGGCTCTGTCTCAAAAAAAAAAAAAAGAAAATCCTATACAGCATATTTCTTCTAGAGCTATGAAAAGGTATTTCTAATTGGTGAAGACTTATCACACCAATAGTTAATAATTCTTAAGTTCTATTTATAGATATAAAATTTTTTTTGAGACAGAATCTTGCTCTGTTGCCCTAGGTAGAGTGCTGTGGCATCAGCCCAGCTCAGATCAACCTCAAACTTCAGGAGATCCTCCTGCCTCAGCCTCTCAAGTAGCTGGGAGTACAAGGACCTGCCACAATGCCTGGCTAGTTTTTCTATTTTTAGTAGAGATGGGGTCTCACTATTGCTTATTAGGCTTGTCTCAACTCCTGAGCTCAAGCAATCCACCTGCCTTGGCCTCTCAGAGTGCTAGGATAACAGGCATGAGCCACCACACCTGGCCCATATTGTACCTATTTTTAAACCTTATCACTAAGGTTACCAACCAAGCTTTTAGAGTATAGTATATTGCATGATATGGTGGCATTCAGTAACTGGCTTTAAAAAAACCTAAAATATGCATGTATAGACATACATTTATGAGGTTAGACAATTAAGATCTTGAACTCATCACAAAGGTGCCTCACTATTGAATTCCCCTTTGTGGTAGTCCCTTTGGGAAGCTATGTACTGGTGCGAGCACCTAGTCCACCCTTCAAAGTAATCTTTTTTTCTATTGTTTCAGGTTCATTGAGAGTACAAAGAATTAGGTTATACTGTTTGCATGTGTTAGGTAAATGCAATGTACCTAAGAGTAAGAGGTGTGCCACACACAGTACCATCCCTCTCCCTGCTCCCTCATTCCCCTACCCCTCACTTTGAATTTATTTGAGTTGTGGGTATGTATTATGATTGTCTACTGGCTTATATTAGAATTGAGTACACTGAATTCTTCAAAACAATTTTGGAACTCTCTTTCTGGAATGGCCATCAGAACTGTTGTGTGAGGTCTGATAATTAAGTTTGCAAACCATCCTAGAAAACATGCTACATACCTCATTGAATATCATTACAGTCACCAGATGGCCAAGGGGAATACTTCAAAGGTGACCATAGTGATACTCAGCAACGAGGTGTGTAGCATGTTTTCCAAGATGAGTTCACGATCTTAACTGTCCAACCTCATATTATAAATTTGACTAATATAAAAGAAATTATGTTGGGGATCCCCCCAAACCACCCTCAAGTTTAAAGAGTTTAAGAAACACAGACTTAAAAAAGCTATTATGGTTGTAGTTTTTCATAATGAAAATATAAAAATTAAGATTAGCAAAAGAAAAAGTGCATAAGGCAATATCCAGGAGAGACCAAGTACAGGTTTCCCTTTGTCCTCTCACAGTGGAGTCATATAAACAGTGCTTAATTCTCTCAGCAAAAATATGTGATAACATGCACAAAGTATTGTCAACTAGTGAAGCTCACCAGAGCCTTAGTGTCCAGTCATGTAGGCATGGAACACTTGTGTGACTGATCTCACCTACTCAGTCCCTGGTCCCCATACCCAAAGGTCAAACTGATAGAACACTGCCCAAGGCTCTCACCATCAACTGTACTGCTAGCATCAACTATGATGCTGCTCAAGGCCCCAGTACACAAATGCACTCTTTTTTTTTTTTTTTTTTTTTTTGAGACAGAGTCTGACAATGTTGCCCTAGTAGAATGCCATGGTGTCATGGCTCATAGCAACCTCCAACTCTTGGGCTTAAGCGATTCTCTTGCCTCAGCGTCCTAAGTAACTGAGACTACAGGCGC